GCCTGAAGAAGAAGATAGCCTGGGGCACCAAACTCATGAACAACAAAATCGAGGTCGGCCTGCACGCGCTGCGTCTGGGGTGCGAGCTGAGTCTCGAGCAGCCCGCGAACGCCACCAGTTGGAGGACCGTGCAGTCGCTGATGAATCTTCGGAAGCGGCTGTACGAGGTCACCACAGCAGGTTGCGCCTGGGGCATGCGGGACAGTGAGACGGGCCAGGCCGTATACAAGAACTGGAGGTTCCTGGTGTCCAACCAGCGGGCAGCTGAGATCCTTGAGCGGAAGTGCCCTCGCGATGACGTGCATCGGCAGATGGAAGGGTCCGACTCCGCCAACTACCCGGACGCCCTGTGCCGAGCTCTCAGCCGGGAAGTGCTGACCCATGCCCTGGTGTCCTGGATCACCGCTGGCGCGAGCGAGATCGAGGGATTCTGAAGGAGCTGACCGAGGGACACATCGAGCAGGCCGAGGTCATGGCCATCGAGAAGGATACCGAGACGGAAGACCCGACTGACGAGTTGAGGAAGTCGGTGCGCCTCAAGCTCCACCGGCTACACTCGCAGCTGGGTCATCCTGGAGCCCGAGCGTTCAATCAGTTTCTACGACGACGCCAGGCTCCCAGCTGGGTACAACAGGAAGCCGAGAGCTGAAGTGCGCCGCCTGCGAACGCTTCCAGAAGCAGCCCATGCATCCTACGGCATCGGGGAGACTGGCGGACCCACTGGACGTCCTCATGATGGACGGGTTCGACTGGGTCCATCCCTTGTCAGGGACCCGGGCGCGCGGCACGCTCCTGGTGGACGAGGGCAGCGCGAAGGCGGTGGCCCGCGTGCACGCCACTCAACCGGATGGAGGCGGATGCGGCAACACCAACGCAGACGAGGCCTGGGACACCTTCGTGCGCTGTTGGGCTCAGTACTTCGGACGCCCGCTACGGATCCGCACCGACCCAGCAGGAGAGTACGAGGCCCACGTGAACAAGGAGAGGGTCGCCCAGCACGACATCCAGAGGGAGTCTGAGCCAGGAGGAGCGCACTGGAGGACGGGCAAGGTGGAGTCCATCATCATGCTGGTGAAGAACATGGCCACGACGCTGGCCTACCTGGACCCGACGTGCAGCATCGACGAGCTCTTCACGTGGCCGGCGGCCGCCCACAACGAGATGCCGAATAGCTCAGGCTGCAGCCCGGACCAGATCGTCCTCGGACGCCGCCTAAGACCCCTGGACAGCGAGCTGATGGGATCGGTGGTCCCTTTACAGGAGGAGGCCCGCTCAGGGTCAGCCGCGGAGGAGGCCATGCGACGACGCCTCCTAGCCCGCTCGGCATATGCGGAGAGTCTGGCAGATCGCCAGGCCCGACTGACCGCGGTGAAGCGCACCCGGGCGCACCAAGAGTACACCGTGGGCGACCAGGTACACGTTTGGCGCCAGGCGGGCAAGACGAACAGGGATGAGAGCAAGACGTCCAAGGGAGGCGACGTCGGGCCAGCGACGGTGCTCGCTCATCTACGGCAACCATTGGAGCAAGGACGCCTCCGGAACGTGGTGATACTGGCCTTTCGGGGACAGGTCCTTCGAGCCGCCCCACAGCAGCTGCGCCTCATGTCCGACGCTGAGCGGACCCTGATCGAGCTGGACACGGAGACTCGGGGCCTTTTGCACCAGCGCACGGACCCGGCCCTGAAGAGACTCTCCCGCGTGGTGGAAATCACCAGGGAAGGCGAGCCCGACTACGACCAGCTGGAGGATCCTGCCAACGCCGAGGAGCCACCCCCGGCGGTGGAGGTGAACATGGAGCCGGGTATGCCGCTGGACGAGGGCGTCTCCCGAGGTACAGAGACACCGCCACCAGATACCCCATGGAGGTCGGAGCCGGGGCAGGAGCAGCCGGTGAGCGAGCCCTCTCCAGAGCGTGGAGCCGAAGCACCTGAAGAAGACGGAGGAGCACCACCGCCGCCAGCGAGGCCCTACGACCCGAGAGACGACCTGGCCCGGCGCCGAAGAAGAGTCGCGAACAGTTCGGCATGGAGGACGTCCTGGCCTCCCTCTCAGACGAGTCCCCAGCCTACGAGGTGCACATCGACCTCCCCGATAAGGAGACCGACAAGAAGGCCTGGCGCAGGCTCGCACGGGACCCCTCGGCCTGCGCTGCCGCCGCCGTGAAGAAGGGCAGCCCGAAGGTGATCCTCTGGAAGCTGGACCACACCATGAGGGAGCAGACCCGTGCAGCCAAGAATGCGGAGATCAACAGCTTGCTAGCCAACCAGGTCACTACGGCGGTCAAGAGAGCGGACGCCGGACCCAGAGGACCGACGAGAATGCGCTGGCACCTGACGGTGAAGTCGGACGGGAAGGCCAAGGCCCGTATCGCGCTCCTGGGCTACGAGGATCCGCGGCTGGGTCACATGAAGACGGCGAGCCCGACCGCGTCCGTCAGGGCGAGGAACCTCGCCTACCAGGTCTGTGCGAACGAGGGCCTGGGCGACGTGGAGGCGGCAGTCCTGCAGTCCCAGAGCTCCGACACCGGCATTCTTGTGGAGCCCGTCCGCGAGCTGCGCGAGGCCATGGACTTGCAGGAGGACGAGGTCGTGCTGATGCTCGAGAAAGCCTACGGCCTGTGCGACGCCCCGAAGGAGTGGTACGACGAGGTCGCCAGGCGCATGGCCGAGTCCGGCTGGGTCGCCATGAAGCTAGAGCCGTGCGTGTGGACTATGTACGACGAGGGCCGTCTGGTCGCAATAGTTTTCGTGCACGTGGACGACTTCGTGTTGGGCATTCGGGAGAACAACGACGTGGCGAAGAAGAAGAACGAGGAGCTGCGCAACTACTGGCAGTGGGGCTCCTGGGAGACTGGGTGCTTCAGGCAGACGGGCGTGGAAGTGGTGCAGCTGTCCGATTTCTCCATCTCACTCTCCTTCGCCGCCGCCGCCGCGAAGGTGGAGATGATCGAGGGATGGAGCGGACGAGCGGGGCGAGCTGACGACGCCCTGCCGGCCCCGGGAATCACCGCGTGCAGAGCGGCCATTGGAGGCCTGCAGTACCTGGCATCACAGGGCCAGAGCCTCATCGCTGCAGGCACCAGCATACTTTCGTCATACACCAATACCGCGACGCGACATATGGGCTGGTCACGCGCATCAACAAGGTGATCCGCACGGCCCACCAGACCGCCCGCATACCAGTACGATTTCGTGCAGTCAAGGACCCGATCTTCATCGCTTTCCACGACGTGGCCTGGGCCGTCAGGAAGGACGGGAAGTCGCAGGGAGGCTACATCATCGGGATGGGCGAGCGAGCGTTGCTACACGGAGAGAGCCAAGCCACATCCCCATTACAGGTCACCTCGAAGAAGCTCCAACGGGTGACCCGGTCGAGCCTGGTATGCGAGGTGCGGTCGGGGAACATGTGCCACGAGGACCTGACCTACATGCGCATGGCGTGGACGGAGTTGATGCAAGGCGGGGTTAACCTGAAGGACATCCAGGCTCACTTCAGCTCACGCAGGCGACCATGGTCACCGAGGGCAAAGGTCTGTACGACGCACTGGCGCGCAGCGTGAGCACTGGTCTGGGCGCAGATGACCACCGCTCTGCACTCGAGGCGCTTGGCCTCCAACAAGCGATGGAGGAAGGAGCCACCGAGGCGCGATGGGTTCACTCAGAGGCCATGCCAGCCTACGGCCTGACCAAGGGATCGTGTGCATCTAGATCCGTGTTGGCGGACTTCTTGACGCGGGGCTACTGGCGTCCAGTACAGGACCCGACCTTCACCTCAGCCAAGAAGCGGCGTCAACAAGGTCGCGAGGACATCCTGGACGACGTTTCTTCCCATCGGTCAGCCCCGACGATGACCTGGGCGACTTCGAGATACTGGCTGAGTATGACAACTACTATGACGAATCGCAGTACGATAGCCACGACGACCTCCCCGTGTGGATCATGTAAGACACGATAGGTGTGCAGAGAGTATAGAGAGCTTGTCTCGTCTTTGCTATGTTTGCCTGTTGTGCATAGCGTTATATATGCAGCCATGTTGGAGCATGCTACGGCCGTAGCTAGAGGACTGTAAAGACAGTGCATCGCCGTGACCGGCGCTTCGAGAAAATACTGACATCACATCTGCATTGACAGGAGGGGGCATCGCGCGAGGGGGCTCCGTCGGTCACAGGTCTCTGTGTCCGTGGCCTGCAAACGAAGACGCAGCCGAGGGTTGGGCTGAGTACGCGAGGCGTCTTACGCGGGGCAGCATGGCGACCTTACGCGGTGGCTTGCGCGAGCGGCCAGCGCGGCACGCTACATCGGAAACGAGGGCGCTCACGCGCGACCTCGCGCGGGCAGCTTTCGCGCGAATGTCCGCGCAATCGAACCCATGCTTCTGCGTCGCGCACGTGTACTTCAGGAACTGCCGCTGAAAGGTGCAGGAAAACGGCCACTTAAACTGTTAGAGCAAGCAGCGTTTGAAGACCTACCAAACCACCCCAACCCAACCCGAAGACCCGACTTTCGGGTTGGTGGGGTACGGGCTTCACAAGTGTTCTTTCAATGTTCTCCGACCACTCCACTGGAAATGGAGGGCAAATCGGAGCCTTCGGGTTGGGTTGGGGTGGTTTGGTGGTCGGTGAGCGTTAGGATCCGACACGACCCGAAGTAACTTCGACGGTCGAGCTCCCGTGCCTGAGTTCCCCGCCTCCCGCACGGGAGGAACGAGCGCCCTTCGCGGGGCGTGGGGAAGGCTGGATATTGCGTCAAGGGGTCCGTTCGGTGCGCGCGGCTGGAGGGGGAGGGGAAAACGCGCCGGCTGGCGGGGCGCGGCGTGGGGGGGAGGGGTTGACCAAAACTCCGCCCACGTGCTTGGCCGAGGAAATCCCACGAGAAAGAAGGCAGGAGGGAGAAAGAGAGAGAGAGAGAGAAATCCCAAGGGGCGGCGCTCTGGCACCGGCGGCTGACTCAGTGCCTCGGGGGTTTCGAAACAAAAAGGGACTGCATGATCATCGCCCCCAATCAATAATTACAATCTGGACTGTAAGTGCTGCCCCCTATCTGGATACCTACAGCGTTCACCGAGTACTTGTAGCAGCTCTTCCCGTCGAGCGTGCAAGTCTGCAAGACAGTCGGCGTCACTGCGTTGCCACCGATCGTTATGCCAATCGACGCGCCCGCGGGCAACTCACCGCCGTCCGTGCAGGTCGGCGAACCGCCCGACGTGATGTTGCAGTTGTATTGCAGGATGTTCTCGCACGTCGGCTCCACGCACGTCTCTGGCGGGCCCACGAACGTGGTTACAGGGCAGCAGCCGTCGTCGCCGAAGTCGGCGAAGGCGATCGGGCACCCGATCTTGCCTGGGGGAAGCAAGAGGAAGGCCGAAGAGGGAGGGAAGAGGGAGGGGGGAGGAGGGGGGAGGAAGGGGCAGGAGGAGGAGGAGGAGAGGGAAGAGGAGGAGGAGGAACAGCAGTTGGGGTCGGAGCAGCTGGGGTCGGAGGATCGCGGGCCGCATCTGCGCTGCGTCGGAGGATCGCACACTGCATGGACGAAGAAAAGGTGGGTTTATCCTGAACACACTGCGTCACCCGCGCACGGGCGGTGCTGGAGTAGGGACTATAGGCATACCACGACGCGTTCGTAGCAAAGGGGAGCGTCTTAAGATCAAGAACGGATATTCTTAAACATGAGGCCGACGTACGAAAGCAAAACGGCATCGATCAGAAAATGAGGAGGAAAACAAACAAAAACAAACAAACAAACAAACAAACAAACAAACAAACAAAAAAACGCACCCCCCGAACAAGTACAGAAAAACTTCCCAAATGGGGTCGGAATAAATGGGGCCCGGGTATCGCGCCGCATCGCCAATACATCGCCGATGCATCGGCGTGGCATCGGCGATGCACGATGCATCGTCGACGTGGGCGGTACATCGGCGACGTCGACGTGGAGAACATCGGGCTCCACGTCGAGCCGCGTCGCCGATGCATCGGCAAGGCGGCGAGATCCTTCAATCCCCATCTTCTCCGACCACATCTAGGAGGCCTGGATGGTGGGCTCACAGACGTGCCAGGACGCCTCGCCACTGCTTGAGACGCCGCCGGCGCGTCGGCGGAGAAGCGGGGGCGCTGCGCGGGGCAGCGGGCGCGACCACCGCCGCGCCCCGGAGCGAGGACGGGGAGGGGGAAGGAGGAGGGGGAGGAGGAGCGAACGTCACCTGAGGGGGCGACGGTCTGGTCAGCCGCGCCGCGGCGCGCCGGCTCACCCCGTCGGATCTGCGGGAAGATGGAGAGCACGGCGCGCGGCGGCGATGGCGGAAGTCTGCTTGCTGCACGTCATGGGCTGGACGTCATCTCTCGTCAGGTGGCATGCCCTGGCGGCCACGCTGAGGCGCGAGACCGAGTTCGGGATGCCATTCTCGCCGTCGAAGGGCTCTGACAAGTCACTGACGAGGGGGGCAGGGCGAGGCGCGCGAGAGGGTTGGCACTCAGCCGGCCACGCAGCAGGCTCAGCTGGCGCCACATCCGCTCGCGCACGAGGTGGTGCTGGACGCGGTCGTTACCCTGCGGGTGCGCGCGCCCAAAGTGGCAGGGGGTTGTCCTGAATGACGTGCATTCTGTGTTTCGTAGCCCACGCGCCCGCGAACGCTTTCACAGCGGCCCACATCCTCGCTGGCGGCAACGTCGCGAGGTAGGTGCGTAGACGCTTCCAACGCGCTGGCAGGTCGGCTGGAACGCGCTGGAGCTGTGCAAGATCTGCTGGCTCGCTTTCATCTGCTGGTGAGTTTTCGTCGCGCATGTCGTCGTCGGGGTCGGCGCCTGAGTCAGGGATGCGGTACGGCAGGAAATTGGCAACCCATCGGCGTCTGGCTCGGTGCTGTGCGGCTCCATATTCGAACAATGCGTTCTGGCTGCGCGTGTCCTCCCCAATGTTGGTCACTCTCGTGAGACGCCGTTCGAGTAGCATGCGGCCGACGCCGCTGTTGCCCCACGGCTGCGCGCGCATGTTGACGGCGACGCGGCGGCGCTGAGCGTCCGCGTCGCACAACGGGGGGAACAGGCCGGTGCCGAGCAGTTCGCACAGCCAAATGTTGCACAACTGGGCCCAGTCGCCCCGGCCGTCGACGCGGCGGTCTCGAAGCAGGATGTCGGGGCGCCAATGAGACGCCCACGCTCGACGTCGTGTGAAAAGACGTTCTTGCCACGGCGGTGGCCGTTCGGCGGTTCGGGGGGGAGCTGCTTGACAGGGTCCAGAACAGCGAACTAGGCAAGAAGACGACGCTTGATGGTGTCGGGCATGGTGTCGACGTAAAGCTGCTCGGTTAGTGGCATCATGCACGCTTTCTGTGGCGTGATCTTGGCAGGTTTGCGACGATGAGATCGGTCTTGTTGTTGTGATTCCTGCGCTGGCTGGCGTTGGAGGAGAGCTTGAAGGCCTGCTCGCGCAGCAAGCTTGCTCGCGCCAACGATTGCTGCGCGTGCGCGTGGTAGCGGCCCAGCAGCGCGAGTCAGACGTTTGAGATGAAAGCCTTGACAATCAAAGGAGAAGGTGGAGTTGGTGATGCCCTCGAAGCGCTGGACGATGGCGGTCTTGATTTCCCCCAGCGATGATGTCTGGGCCTGGCAGCGCACAGGTGGGTGCGACGATGCACTTCTTCGCTTGGAGATGGAGACCCGCAAGCGTCTCGGCGGCGATCATGCTCGGGGCGATCGCACTGGCGTCGTGGAGTCTGGCGAGGATGACGCCTAGGTCGCCGGCGCAGGCGCTGACGAGGCCGCGCTCGATGGCCCTGAGCTCGGAGCTGATGGCCGCGATGATAGGGCCGAAGAAGAGGGCCCAGAATGCGCCACTCATGGGGCAGCCTTGAGCTATACCCGATGCCGCGGCGAGCGGCGGGCGTCGCTCTCCCCCATGTCCAGGCGCGAAACCGGCCAGCGGCAGCAGACCTGGATAAGGCGCAGCATGTTACCGTGAACGCCCCAGCGCGTGAAGGAGTTCCACATCGACGGATGGCCGAGACTCGGGAAGGCGGCCGCGCTGTCCATGCTGACGAGGACGGGCATGTCTGCCGATGCTGAAGGTGATCGGCTGAGTTGTCTGGCGGCTGCGTCTACCACGACAACGTTGTTCACAAACTGGCGGCAGCTGACGATGCCCTGCTGCTCGGGGGGCGCCTGGGCGGCGAGGGCGCGGACCTGGCGGTCGGCGGCGGAGACCGACAACTCCGCGCCCGAGCTCTTCATTGATAGCGGACGAAGGCAATCTGGAGCGCGAGTGCACTCTGCGCTGTTACTCGGCTCGTCGCCTTTTCGGCAACATTGCCATGCGGGAGTAGAGGTCGTGCGGAATGTTGTCGTTGGCGGCGACGTCGTTGCAAGCGTCGGCCAGAATGTCGAGGCTGCCAGGCGCGCGGGGCCGCGCCTTGCATGGAAGAGCGGCCGGGCCAGGCGCGGAGCCCCCAGCAAGCCCGGCGGCTTTCTCGAGCGCCCGCGCGCCAGGTAGCGGGAGGTCGGCAGGTCGACGCCGAGCGAAGATGGAATCCAGGTACTCGGCGAGGCGCATGACAGCCACGTGTTCCCCTGCAAATACTAGGGCCCAATGCCGCGCGATGGCCTGGTGCATGGCTGCGGGGTCAGTCGCTGCGCTGGCCAAGCTGTCGGCGATGACCTCGGCGCCCAACGCGAGGCGCTTGGAAAATGGTTCCCGCTGTTCTCCGCGAAGCCCTTCACGCGGGGCGCGCTGGCGCCATTTTTGGCAGAGGGGGGCGTCATTGACTGCGCGTGCTGCTCCCGAACGGGCTGCCGCAGGCGCCTTGCGCTCATCGCCGAGGCAGGCGTGCGTGGAGTCAGTCGCCACGGAGAAGTTCATGTCGTCGATGCCGACGGCGCCCGCCACGATCTCCAGTTGGGGCCCGCCGGCGCCGGCGTTCTCGATCAGAGCCTTCGCGAGCGGGGCGATCTGATGCCAGACGGCCCTGGCGACGCCGCGCAGGGCCCCGGCTCGGGCCTCGCGAGATACCGAGGCAGACTGCGACTGCAACTCGGCGGCAAAGATCTTGGCGAGCACGTTGCGTGCTCCGGCCCGCGCAGGCGGATGCGCAGGTGCATGATCTTGCGGTGGCTGATGGGGCCCTTGCCGTTCTCGAGCGGCGAGTCGTCGGAAACGCAGATTGTCTCCATGGGGGGCACGAGGCATGAAGCAGCGGTCAGCCGTCGATTCACTCATGGCGGCTTGGAATCTGCGCGTCGTGGGCGGAGCGGCAATCTCGATCGCGTCGCGGAACAGGTTGCGCCAGAAGCCGGGCTGGCATTGCTAGCGCTGCGCGGCTGTGGCGTCGGCGCACACGGGGGCGTCGATCGACTTCGGCGGGAATTCGGAGACGTTGAAGTCCCCCGCTATGACAAGGTGACGGCGGCGCGGTTGCTCGCCAGCACGAAGCCGAAGCGCAAGCCCCTGGTCGCGGAGATGAAGCCGATCGGCAGGAGTGAAGCCGCAATTGTGGACGTTGGGGACGGCGACTTCAAACTGGAGGCTGGCATCCGAGACTGGCAGACAAGCGGCGCGGCCAGGGATGGCGACCTCGAACCTGGCGCGAGGATGGAGTTATTGCGGAAGGTGCTGTTCATTCCTGCCGAACGGAACCAGGAAGCCGACGCCGCCCGCGTTGGTGACGGGTGCGCCGCCGACGATCATCGAGGAGTTGCACGGCTTGTATTTGTGCTGCGTGGAATTGGCCAGGACGGTGAAGTCGACCAAAGTGCCATGCATTTCTTGCACTGCACTGAGAGCACGCTGTCCGAAGTAAGGCAGAAGTGGGCGAAGCTCACCAGCGCAACGCTGGTCTGAATGACCAAGTAGAGCTCGAGTGCTCCAGGAAGCGACGTTGAGGCCCTCCTGCGGGGGCGCGAGGAGCCAAGGGCTTCAGTGGTGGCTGAAGCCACTGTGCAGCAGAGAGCGCGTCTGCGAAGTTGGACTCGAACTCGGACTGGATTTCCTGCTGGATGGGAGCCGTCGAAGCCTGGGTAGACAGCAGCGCGGGACCACTGGAGCTTAGTAGGCACGACAGCTGTGCCACCAAAGAAAAGGCGCACCACAACTTCACCACGGCTCGGCACGAAGTCCAATGTTCCGCGTGGACTTAGGTCGATTTCTGACTTTGCATGTTGCATGATCTTGGCGAGGCGGTCGACCTGGATCTCTGCGCGCACAGCGTTCGGTCTTCCGTCGGCCGACACGTGGAGAGGAACGTGCGAACCATGAGCCACATGAGAAAGAAAAAAAAAAGTTGCCCGCGCACGCGCCGTGCCCGAAGCTCCGCAACCACGGTACCACCGCTGACTTGTAACGAGTGGCGCTTGGCGGGGCCGACTGTGCTGAAAATGGTCATGTTCTTGTTGATCTCGGCTTTCGAGAACCAGTCTGCGAAGGCGCGCTCGAGCTCGGGCTGAGTGAACTCCTGCGGGCTGCTGCGCCAGTACGTGGTGGGGCCAGGGTCGCGATCCCAGGTGCCCAGTCCATCCAGGTTGAGCACACGTACTCTGGCTTCTGCAGATGTGACGATGGCTTCCAGCTCGGCGACGGCGACTCTGAGGTCGATGTTCTGCTGCTCGAGGATGTTGGTGCGCTCATTGGCTGCGGTGATATTTCGTTATGTAGCTTCGTGACGTTAGCTGAGCTCTGCGGTGATCTGCGTGCGATTGGCGAGGAATTCGTTGCTAGCTTGCGCAATGACGGCTCTGGCGGTACCTTCGAACTTGTCTGAAGCGTCTCTGATTTGTGCGGCCATGATCTCCTCAAGCTGCTTTCGAACGTGAACGGGCAAGCCGTGCACTGCAAGCTTCGCTGCTCCATCATGCCATGGGTCCGGTTGTCGTTTGGCACCATCGTAGTCTTGACCACTGGCTGCTGATGACGTTGGTGTTGCTGCGAATGGTGTCGTTGGCGTTCCCATGGGAGCACGCTGATTGCCTGCGCCAGCCTCGGTCGATCGCGCGTGGAGGCTGCTGCAGGCGAGTGCAGGGCCGAATACGAAGCTTAACCAGCAGGGCAGCTGGAAGGCGTGGGATGGAAAGCAGGTCCTCAGCTGTCCCTGGACCAAGGATCTCCGTGCTCTGCCACAGGGCGGAATCTTCTTGAGCCAAAACTGCTACGGTGGAGGAGAAGGAGTAAGAGGAGGAGGAGGAGGAGGAGGAGGAGGAGGAGGAGGAGGGGGAGATGGACTGCTTGACAGCTGGGGTCCTCTCGGACCCGGAGCTCGGAGATCGCCGCGGGCGGCGCCCCAGGAACGCCGCCCGAGGCTTCGGTGGGGGGGCCTGGCTAGAGGTCTCCTAGATGGGGTCGGAGCGCATGTGGTCGGAGGATCGCGCAGCATCGCCGATGCATCGGCGATGCATCGGCGATGCATCGGCGATGCTTCGGCGACGTCGGCGTGGAGAGAACCGGTCCCCGCATCGAGCCGCACCGTCGATGAATCGGGGATGCGGCGCGCTGACTACCTGCCAGACCACCCCAACCCAACCCGAAGACCCGAATTTCGGGTTTGGGGGGGAGGCACAGGTTCCAAAAATGTTGTTGTCAATGTTCCCCCAACCACCCCACACTGGAAATGGAGGGCAAACTGAGGCCTTCGGGCTGGGTTGGGGTGGTTTGGTGGGTGGTGAGGAGCAGGCCCGAACAGTCCGCGCGGACCTCGCAAAACTCCATGCGCTTACGCCGCTTTCTGGTCGTAAGTGCCTGGGGTGGGCTCCACGACGTCGCCGAACAGCGGCTTGCACTTCTGGTCCGAGGTGCACGTGCTGGTCACCGAGCAGCAGCCCATCCCGCACTTCACGTCCACGATGCCGCACCTCGCAGTCCGGGGAGCCCACCCCCCGCTCGGCGTGTCGGAGCGGCTCCGCACCTGGCGCAGAAGGCAACCCGGCGCACACCGCCACGCGCGCGCCTGGGCCAGGGCCATCCTGGGCCCTGGCCTGGCTAGACGAGCGCGCTCCACTACTCGCAAGTAGCCACTGGCAAATGGCCTCCATCCGCCGCGGGGAATTTACTATATATATATAAACACGTACAGATGTGTATATATATATGTATATATATATGCATATATGTAAATACACATACAGATGTGTGTAAATATATACATGTATATATATATATGTATATATATATATATACATAGATTACACCATACAAAAGCGTATGGTTATTCGGGCGTTTGCGAGTAGGCACTCTGCGGGTCGCGGAGCCCGCTCGGCGAATGGCGTGCGCACACGCCCGTCCTGGCCGAGGCCTGGAGGCTCTGCACGACAGGGCCAGCCCCCGGCTCGCCCCTGTCCCTCGGGTGGGCGTGCCCAGACGCGATGGCCGCCCTGGGGATGCGACCTCAGACACCGAGGGAATCCGTAAGATCGGCATCCAGGTGAGGCGATGCCAGTCCTAGGGAGAGGGGTGTTGCCAGGCTGGTAACACCACCCCGGGCCCCCATCCCCCATCCTTCAGCCACCTTCCCCGAGCCGGATCGATCTGCGAGGGTCCTGGGGCCAGACACGGGGGAAAAACGCCCGTTGTGAAACAAATGCAACGCCCGGATCCGAGGGTACGTACGTCTTCGGTGGCAACTCACGGGAGCCTCCCATACCATCTTGTCGGCTCTTGCGAATCGACGCTGATCCGCGCTGAATCGACGCCAACCTGATTACCAGACGCTAATCGACACTAGTGCGCTCCAAAGACGCACCCACGAAGGCACGCAAGGCTCCCATGCTCTGCCCCGAGCGCGCCCGTCATGGCCGAGGTCGCGGGGCTCTGCACACCAGCCTCGGGGCACGGGGTGGCCTTGGCCCAGGCCCCGTCGAGGATCTAACAGCACACTCCCATGCCCGTGGGGGGTCGGGGGGCTGGTTGTTGCATTCCCAAAAAAAAATTGAATTCGATAAGCCAGCACCTGTTTTTGAATACAAAAATCTGACTTTGAATTCAAAAACCCGTGGGGGGTCGGGGGGCTGGTTGTTGAATTCAAAAACAAGCACCGGCTGAGGGTGTGGGTGCGGATCCTCGGACCCTGGGTGGGGCTCCCCTGCGAGCGGGGAGGCCCCTCCAGCAACACGCGCACCCATGACTCCCTCCGCCACCCCCTATGGGTATGGGTGCGTGCACAGGGTGCCCCTCTGCGAACGCCTGCGCGCTGCGGCCCGCCGCCTGCAGCAGCCCCACCCCGTCGCTCTCCTCCGGGAGAGGCCCAAAAAAGCCCCGACGGAGCACTGCCAGAGCCGATGGAGGAAGTACGCACAGTGAGGATGCAAGGGCCTTGCACGCCCAAGCCGGAGCTCTCGAGCGGCACTGGCCATCGAAGAGGGGTGGGGGCAGGGTAGGGGTGGACCGAGGAGGCAAGGGTTACGAGGGGTACCTCTGGGAAGACTTTATGCATCCTCACTATCGGTATCGACTGCGAAGCCTCCCAGACGGGGTCCGAGTAGATGTGGTCGGAGGATCGCGCCGCATCGCCGCCGCATCGCAGATGCATCGCCGATACATCGGCGCCGTCGGCGCGGAAGAGATCGGGCTCCACATCGCGCCGCATCGCCGATGCATCGCCGATGCATCGGCGAGCGGCAGCGATGTGGCGCGACCATGCGACCGCACAGCCGCTCCGACCTGACCTGACTACCTACCAGACCACCCCCACCCAACCCGAAGACCCGAATTTCGCCTGAATTCCGGGTTGGAGGAGGTACGGGCCTCATGTGTGTGTTTGTCCATGTTCCCGTGCCCCCACCCCACCGGACATCGAGGGCAGATCGGAGCCCTCGGGCTGGGTTGGGGTGGCTTCGTGGGCGGTGGTGGCCTGGGAGGCCCAGAGACTGTCAGCCCAGGCAGAGGCCGAGCGCTCCGTGCGGGCCTCCTCCGCACGGCTTCGGCACCCCGTCGCTCTACTCGGCCGCCGCGGCGCAGCCCTCGGGGGGCGCCGCCCCGGCCGCCGCCAGGACGAGCGCCAGGGCCGCGGAGGCCCGGGCGGGGAGCGCCATCGGGCGTTCTGCCGCGCGGAGGGGGGCGGGGCGCGCACCTGCAGAGGCCTCCCAGAGGAGCGACGAACAGAAACGGGTCTTACGCGGGATGGCACACAGGACAGCCCGTACGAGAAGGAGGCACGAGAAGGATGCCAGGGCCTTGGAAGGTCACGTCGACACTTTGCGAGCAGGGCGCGCCCAGCGAAAGCGTTCAAGGATGGGCCGAATGGGGAAGGATGCAAGGGAAACCTTGGAAAGTTGCACATCCGTACAGCGCGGGTTGACTTACAGTCATCGTGCCAGTATAGGGAACGCATAATAACAAAACGACGGGGATTTGTTTCTGGCCACGGGCCACAAACAGGTTAGACGACTGAACAATAAGGAACGGCCCAAAACCCCGAGCCCCTCCTAAGCCCTAAGCGGTCCTTATATCAGAGCCTTGGCTATCTCGATCTTACGCGACTGCGTACGCGGGCCGCCAACGCGGAACGCCACACTGGAAGCGAGTGTGCTTGCACGCGAACTTACGCGGGCAGCTTACGCGCCAATGTCGGTGAAAACGACCCCCCGAGCATTCGAGCCCGAGACGGGTAATTAAGGGGCCTTGCGTTCGCGTTGCACTGTTTTGCGTTGCGTTGCACAACTTTGACTTGCTCTGCATTGCTCTGTGTTGCTCTGCATTGCGTTGAATTGCGTTGATTTGCGTTGCGTTGCGTTGAGTTGCGTCGCATTGCTTTGCGTTGCATTGATTTGCATTGCTTTGCATTGCTTTGCATTACAGCGCATTACTTTGCATTGCTATGCATCGTTTTGCATTGCGTAGCGCCACTTAGACTGCACCACGTGGATTGCAAGAACTCACTGCTTAGGGTCAACTGGCTAGCAAACATAGATACATATAGACAGGTACGTAGTGCGACAAGCAAACAACACACATCTAACAACACCCCAAAAAACAATAACATCAATATCATACTGGTGACACGCACGTGATAGCTCTACGATTTCCGAATCCACTACCGTGCTTTCGGCACGTTGGGGCATGTCTGGCAAGGGGTCTGCAATGTCCCCGACACCGCCCCCCACCCGCGCGCGGGGTCAACAGTCTGCCCCCCCCCCCCCCCGAGTTGCTGCTCGGCGCGCTTGTCGACATCGAGACGGCGCAAAGATAACAGAAGACCGCCCCGACATGACTGCAAGTCGCCCCAAGGCAATCGAAAAGCTGCCAAACGAGCCCCCAAGGCTCCACGATCTCCCCAGATCTGTCCAAGACGCCCCAAAAAGCGTCCAAGGGACCAGCGAGGCCGTACGGGCAAAAACCGTTGAAAAAACATAAGATCTATAGCATGTGCTTCCGAAGCTGTTCGGCTTCAGATCGCTTTGGTGGAGACCCCCAAGTCGGCCCCAGGGGGCTACACGACGGCCCCAACATGGTCTCTACTTCGTACTGAGCTCTTCGGAAGAGCTCGGTGCGACCATCGCACCCAAGACTGCACCGAACCCTCCGACGGGCCCCCAAGCAGGCCCTCAAGATGCCATCGAGACGCCTTAAAAACCCAAGATCCCAATGTGCCTTCAAGAGGGAGGCCGAAGGAGGGAGGGAAGGGGAGGCAGGAAGGACAAGGAGATCGAAGCTGCGGACGAGAAGAATAGAAGAAGAATCAGAAGAAATAAAGGATATAAACATAAACTGTTGGCGTTCCGCGCGGATTTCTTGGATCCGCGCTGGACCCCCTCCCTGGTGCGCGGAGCGCGCCAGGGGCGGCGCCGGAGGCGCCGCAAGGGGGTCCAGCGGGGATCCAAGAAATCCGCGCGCAGCGCCAACAGTTAATGTTTATAGCGTTTTTTCTTTTTCGAAAGAGGGCACTAAAGACCCGCACGACCTTAGGCAAAGCACCGAGCTGGAGCGGACATCGAACTCGACATCTGTCCAGCTGCGCTGCTGCGCTGGCACGGTGGCGGGGCTTGTCGCAGACCGCTGGATGACAGGTTCGGCAAGATCTGGGACCCCTGCAAACTTAGGTCGGGCATGTCCCCCTACAGGCGGATTCCGGACGAAAAATGCAAAATAATCTTACAGATAATCAACAATAGTCAAAAAATACTAAAAACAAATCGTCCCGAAACTATTGTTTGACTATTTTTGAAGATTCCTCCTATAGAGGGACGAGCCCGACTTAGGACTGCACTTCACACAGCCGTCATACTGAGAGAATGGATGTGATGGCAGCGTGTGCCCGCGGCTGAGGCAATCTCGGACGAACGGAGCACCTCGATTGATATGCTGGACCCGCCGATCGCAATCACACAAAACGAGAACCATGCTGCGCACTCCAGCACGGCAAAGCCCAGCCCACGATCAGGGAGGCACGCACGAACGCATCACCGCTCAGCCAGCGCGATGGAAGGGCGACGATCAGAAGTCGTACACCACGGCGCGCGCAGGCACACGCCCGCCGCACACGTCGAGGCCGAGCGAACGTGCCGCACCATCCAAGCGTCCGAAGCGGGGCCCGAGGAATTGCAACAGTGCAACACCGCACGCGGGAGACACCCGTGAGAGAAGGGACAGAGACAGAGACCACGGCATCAACACAAACTCTTCGAGGTCCGCGCGGGCTTCCTGGATCTGCGCCGGACCGCCCTCACGGGGGGCGCGCGGAGCGCCAGGCAGGGCCGTCCAGCGTGCGCGCCCAGCTCTTCGTCACCATAGGGGCTGGACGGCGCCGAGAGGCCCCACCTGCGCCGCCTCCTCCTCCTCCCCCTCCTCCTCCTCCTCCTCCTCCTCCTCCTCCCTCCGCAGCTCGCCCGAGCCCGTGGAACTAAGCGAGGGCACGGCTCGGCCGTCGCCGCCGGGACGGGGCGCCCGAGCCGGGCGGCCGCGCACGACGAGAGGCGCAGAGGCCGGGAGGGGCGGGGGGGCGGGGGCGGAGCGCGCGTCAAGGGTCTCCAGGAAGCGGGGGGACCTCCAGGAGGGGCGGGGCAGAGGCCAGGAGGGGCGGGGGGGCGGAGCGCGCGTCGAGGGAGGGGCGGGGGGGCCTCCAGGAAGCGGCCGAGAGAGGAGCCCCCTCGGGCGCCCTCCGAGGAGCCGCGAGGGCTCGGCCGAGCCCTTTAGGCGGCAGCTCGGGGGAGCCTCCGGTGCCGTCTTGCTGTTTCTGGCGCTCGCGAACCGACGCTGACCGACGCTTGCCGACGCTCCTCGAGGCCAATCGGAGCGAGATCCGCCGACCCCTTGTGGGTCTAGGTGTGTGAGATCTTCCCCCCCCATACGTAAGCCCCCCCTGGGACCCCAGACCAGAAATTTGACCCCCCCTTTGGCCGCGCAAGACCCCCGGCCGAACTCACCAGGGGGGGTCTGGCCCTCCCCAGGCTCGCTTTGGAGCTCCAATACAGGCCCTTGGGCGTTCCAAGAGGTTCCCAGCACCGGCCCACAGGGCCCATCGTCGCCGAAAAATCGTTCCAAGACGCCCACGATGGCCTCCAGACGGCCCAAGATGGCCTCCAGACGGCCCACGATGGCCTGGTGGAATGCAGTCCTGGACGCGCAGTAGTTTACAGAGGGGTCGGCGGATGTGGCGCAAGCCTGCAGAATCGATGCGAATCGCCGCTAAGTCGGCGCATCGTCACCGACTACCAGGCGCCAGCGCGCGCGAGTGCACTCGAAAGACGGAGCTTGCGAGGACACGCAAGGCTCCCATGGGTCTGCCAGCGAAGGCTCTGCCGAGCCACGTCCTCGGCAAGGCCCGCCCGCTGCCTCCCCCCGCTGGCTGCGCGAGTGCAGCGCGCGCACTCGCGGCGCCCCCTCCTTGCGGTGGTAGTCCCTGGCGCGGAGTACGTAGTCTTTGTGCTTCTCCAAGTACCCGAGCTTCTTGCGCTGGGCAGGCTGGTGCCTGCGCGGAGCGCCCGATCCGCTGCGGTGAGCACTCAAGACACAGTCTGCGCCGTTCCATGGACTCTCACCCTGTTCGCAGGAGCGGCCAGCATCGAATCGGCACACCAGATCGGATCGGAACGTGCGTTGGATCAGGCTGCATCCACACGGAGTCGGACTCGAATCGGATCGGCCGCTCCTGGATGTACACGGGCGCCATAGCAGCATCGGGCAGCACCGCATAGTCGGAATACCGAAATCGGATCGGATCGGGCTGGCCGAGACCGATCCCGAATTGGAATCGATCGGACCGGACTGGATCGACCGGGACGACCTTCCCCGGCTGCCGCCGACGACCCTCGCCCTTTCCCCGCCCCCCACACGCCCCCTGCGTGCGTGCTTGCCTGCTGCTGCCCTTGCCGCCCCCCCAACCTCCCCTCCCCTGCTTGGGTCCGCTCGCCATGGTTTCCCTCCTCTCCGAAATAAGAAACAGTGCTTTTCCACCTGCTGCAGTACAGCACACGATGTGCAACTGCAGGCCATCCCTGAAGAGACTACCCCTCAGGTCCGAAACGTTGTGTGCTGAAACCTGGCACGGTGGGCGCTGGGGGCCAAAACAGCTTGTTTGGGTCAGATCGCCGTGCTTGTTCATCTCCCCCCCTGGGCTTTTGGTGCTCCCATCGTACTCAAAGACCAGATCCCAGAAATAATTTCGAGCAGCCTGAAAAGTGTCGAACAAGTGTCGAACGAGTATCGCCTCCCAGGGCCCGACACGTGAAAACCCTCAAGTTTCGGTACGTTCTTGGTGCTCAAGGCTAAAGGTGATCAAGGCTAAAGTAGGCTAAAATGAGTTGGAGCATCATAATTCTGGGCCTTCTTCCTGCCGTCCTCCGAATCTTGCAGGCTGGCGCGGGGCCATCCCTCTGCCGCGGCGCCCTTCGCAGTGCGCGTGCGCGCTGCACCAGGGCCTCCACTGACGATCCGAGCAACTTGCTCTTGCGATCGTCCACATTTGAACCGGTGGCCAGGGTCGCGTGGCCAGCATCATGTCAGGACCACCCCGCGCCCCTGTATTGCTGCCGCTGATCTGACCGCGGTTGAAGGTTTCAATGGCTTACTGACTGTCCTGTAACCTTAGTTGCCCGTGCAGAGTATTCGATCTTCGACTTTTTGGTGCAGCCACCCGACTGTGCCAAATCGTCTCTGCTGGTTACGTGCCACAAGTTGCCGCTGCTGCTCCTCCTCCCCCTCCACACCGTGCGAGCGCGCCATTCGGACGTCGTGAGTCCCCCCGAGGGTGCACGGCCAACATGCGACAGTCCACGCCGCTCCGAGGGAAAGGGCCGAGCGGAGAGGGTCCGAGACACTTCTAGGACGAGCCCCTCGTAGCTCCTGCGGCGCCCCAGAGACGCCCCGGGAGAGGAGGAGGAGGAGGAGGAGGAGGAGGAGGAGGAGGAGGAGGAGGAGGAGGAGGAGGAGGAGGAGGAGGAGGAGGAGGAGGAGGAGGAAGGAGGAGGAGGGGGGGGAGGGGGAGGGGGAGGAGGAGGAGGAGGCGGGAGCCCGCGCGGCGCCTCTCCAGGTGCACCCGCCGGTGCACGACGCGGCGCAGGTTGCCGTCGCCCCCGCCCATTGTCGCCACGCGCGCGGGGAGCACGTCCTGCCCCGCCCATATAGAGGAAAAAGAACTATGCACATGCACCGATCCTGGCCAGGCCCATCCTAAGCCCAGGATCGGTGCATACGCCCTCCTGCCTTGGCCAGGAAGGCATATGCACCGATCCTGGGTCAAGGGTGGGCCTTGCCAGGATCGGTGCATGTGCATAGTTCTCTTCGCTCGCCCACACCACTTGGCGGGGCCGCTCTCCGCGCGGCGCGAGGCGGCAGAACTCGGGAGGCACGGCGACGACGACGACGAATCGACGACGACGACGACGACGACGACGACGACGGCGGCGGCGGTGGCGGCGGCAGCGGCGGAGACGGAGGCGATGGCGGCGGCGGCGACGAGGACGAGGACAAATCGACGACGACGACGACGACGACGACGAATCGACGACTACGAATCAACGACGACAACGACGACGAATCGACGACGAATCGACGACGACGACGACAACGACGACGACTACGAATCACGACGACGGATCGACGACGAATCACCGACGAATCGACGACGACGACGACGAATCGACGACGACGACGCTGACGACGAATCGACAACGACCCGACGACGACAGCGGCGGAGCGGGCCCAGGGGCGCCGAGCGAGGGCCCGCCCCGCCGCTGAGCTCGGCCCCCTCAGGGCTTCGCACACGGGGGCTTGGCTAAACGGGGTCTTGGTTTTTTTTCCGGATGCTCCTATTAGCTACCTGGCGGGGGGAAAGGAGGAGGTTGCCTTCTCTCAAGGCTCGGAAGTGCCCCAACCTTCTGAAAGCTGAATGGCTTCTGACCCCTTTCCCGGATACACCAAAAAAATGTTGTGTATCCGAAGGCGCGAGCGTTTCTGAGAAGCCCTTCTGGGAAGGCGTCCTCCTCTGAGAAAGCCTTCTGCTTCTCACTTCCCCCCATCGCTCGCCGCCAAACTATGCCGCCGTCTGCGTTGCCCAAGGCCTCCTGAACGGGCGCAGTCGGCGGCCCCCGTCCCCCAAGCGTGGAAATCGGCGCTCCCCGTTCTCGGAAGGCTCGGACGTCCCCCGGCCTTCTGAAAGGTCTTCTACACCGAAGACACCAAACAAATCTGAGAGGGGCGCGAGGGCCTCTGAGGAATCCCGCCGCCGTCTGAGAAGGCCTTATATTTCTCACTTCCCCCGTCGCTCGCCGCAGAACACCCAAAGGGGGTATATTTACTGTCGGACCTACGCCAGCAGAACATCCGTCGGCCAAAACGCACAGAACATCCAAGGGCAACCTCCACAATATAAACAAGAACGTCTAACACACACGAAGAACACGAGGGCACCCTCCCGGAACCGACCTCGATCTTATACCTCGGTCCGACTGTAATGGGAAGTGGCCTACAGGGGGGTGATCAAAAGGTCCCCCCAGGGGCCCTCTTCTTCACACCGCATTCACGTCACCCCCCATTACCACTCGCCCGACCATCACTCGGAGCCGAGCAGGACTCACGACCGGGGAACATATCCGTATCCGCGCCCTCGCGGTCTGGATACTGGTGCGCGATCCCGCGGATACCCGAACCCTGATATGAGTTAACGAGTTTAAGAAAATTGTGGCGGTACAATTACAAAATATAGCTTCGCCGGCAAGGGTGTCGCAGTCGTGGTTGTCGCAGAAGGAGCAATAATAGAAACTCATGTTGTTGTGGTTGCAGTCGTCGTAATGGCGGTACTAATCGTACCCGTGAGAATTGTCGAATTAAGGGTGGTAGTAATAGTAACCGTGAGAGTTGTAGTCTTAGTAGTAGTGGTAGAAGTAGCCGTCGTAGTCGTAGTCGTCGTTGCAGAAGAAGAGGCAGTAGTAGTCGTAATAATACTAGTAGCAGTAGCAGTAGCAGTAGCAGTAGTAGTAGTATGCGTAGTACTAGGAGTGACAGACGTAGTAGTAGCAGAAGTAGAACTCGTCGCAGTAGTCGTCGTCGTCGCGATAATAATAATAATTGAAGTGTTAGAAGCAGCAGCGGCAGTAGTCGTAGTAGTACTAGTAGAGTACTAGTAGAAGTGGAAGTAGAAGTAGACGTAGAAGTAGAAGTAGTAACACTAGTAGTAGTAGCAGTAGTAGTTGTGATAGCAGTAGTAGTAGTAGTAGTAGTAGTCGTAGTAGTAGTACTAGTAGTAGTAGTAGTAGTAGTGGTAGTAGTAGTAGTAGTAGTAGTAGTACGAGTAGTAGTAGCAGTACTAGTAGTAGTGGTGGTGGTAGTGGTAGGGGTAGTAGTGGTAGTCGTAGTCGTAGTCGTAGTCGTAGTAGTAGTAGCAGCAGTAGTAGCACGACTAGTAATAGCACGAGTTATAGTACGAGTAGCCGTAGTAGTAACAGTAGTAGTAGTAGTAGTAGTAGTAATAGTAGTATTAGTAGTAGTCGTCCCAGTAGTAGTAGTATCACCCGTGATCATAGTATCGAGAATTAAAAAAAAAGTAGCAGAAGTAGTGGTAGTAGTGCTAGTAGTAGTAGAAGTAGTAGTGGTGGTGGTGGTAGTGGTGGTGGTAGGAGTAGTAGCAGTTGTAGCAGTAGTAGTGGTAGCAGTAGTACTAGTGGTAGTAGTAGTAGTAGTAGTAGTAGTAGTAGTAGTAGTAGTAGTAGTAGTAGTAGTAGTAGTAGTAGTGGTAGTGGTAGTAATAGTAGTAGTAGTAGTAGTAGTGTAGTAGTAGTAGTAGTAGTAGTGGTGGTGGTGGTAGTAGTAGTAGTAGTAGTAGTAGTAATAGTAGTAGTAGTAGTAGTTGTTGTAGTAGTAGTAGTAATAGTAGTAGTAGTAGTAGTAGTAGTAGTAGTAGTAGTAGAAGTAGTAGTAGTAGTAGTGGTAGTAGTAGTAGCAGTAGTAGTAGTAGTAGTAGTAGTAGTAGTAGTGGTGGCGGTAGTGGCAGTGCCATCGCGGCGCAAGCCCAGGGGCGTAGCGGGAGACGATCAACAAAAATAGCCTACGACCCCCAGACTTGATAAGTCGAACCCGTACAATGGGGCCCCTTGTGAGGGGTCGGAGGGCGGAGTTTGTTGATCGCTTACCGACAGTACCGTATCGGCGCCCTCGCGGTCTGGACTCTGGGGCGCGATCCCGCGGACACGCGGATCGCACGGAACCGTTCTGCGCGGGGCATCCGCGAAAAAACGCTACGTATCGGCGAGGTCGCGGCCCAGGGGCCCAGCCCGCCAGGCCGCGGATGCGGATACGTTCTCGCCAAGAAGGAAGGGAGCCCACAACGGACGTACGCGCCCAACCACGTACATGAATACGCCCCCCCGTCCGCGAGACCAACCTCGTGAGACGAACGCTCGCGCAATGCGTGCTTGGGGAAACCAGAGGGTACCGATACCGCTACTCCCCGAACCTCCCCCGGGGAACGTTCTGACCAGAGTGTCAAAGGGAATATGGAGTGGAGACCTAAGACGAAGAAAACGAGGAAGGGCAGCGGTATCTGTACTGTTCCTTCCTCTGAGTACTTCAGAAACCAGCGTAAATTTGTATGTGCGTGTATGTCCTTCTTTCACCCCTGGGGAGGACGAGCGCCCATGCGAAAAAGAAGGAAAACCACATGGCGATTGAACTAGGACAGCGCCAGAAGTATATGATATCTGGGAATCCAAGTTCAAAGACCGATTGGTACGGGTACAATCGGACCCAGGCCAAAAGAACATCCCTCAAGAACACGAGACCCGTTGCCAGCCGAAACGCACAGAACGTCCAAGGGTACCCTCCCCAGGATGCACAAGAACATCCAGCATACATGACGAACATGACACCCTCTCCGAAACGACCTTGATCATATTCCTCGGTCCAAGTGTACTTTCGAAACCAGCGTGGACTCTCAGATGCGTGTGCGTCCTTCCTGCGGTCCCGGGGAGGACCAAAACACCCAGGGAGATGGGCGGCAGGTGGCCTCCTCCTCCTCCTCCTCCTCCTCCTCCTCCTCATCAGCATCATCATCATCAGCAGCAGTATCAACATCATCATCATAATCATCATCGTTATGATCATCAACATCACCATCATCATCAGCATCCTCATTATCAGCATCAGCAGCATCATCATCATCATCATCATAATCATCAATCGCCAGCATCGTCATCATCATCATCATCATCATCATCATCAGCATCATCATCATCATCATCATCATCATCATCCTTTTCCTCCTCCTCCTCCTCCAGCTCCTCCTCCTCCTCAACCTGCTCCTTGTCCTCCGCCTCTTCCTTCTCCTCCTCCTCCTCCTCATCATTCTTTTCCTCCTTCACCTCCTTCTCCTCCTCCACTCCTTCTCCTTATGAAAAACGCTTCCCTGTCGCACCCCGGGGCCAGTCGGAAGAACGGGCCGGGCGTTTCGCCTGATACGGTCTTAGCACGCAAAAGCTTAAGCATTGCCAGCAACTTCACAGATGGAGGGCTGGTTGCTTCCAATATGTGGTTCTCGCTTTAGCGCCGCGTGCACTCGTCTTAATTATATGTGCACAAAGGCTTCACGCGTATTGAGATCGGGTGGTTCTCAAAACGTAGCTCTCGCCTCAGCGCCGCGCGCATTCGTTTTCAACATGTGGTTTTCAAACCGTACGTCTCGCATATGCGCCGCGCATATTCGTTGTAAAATGCATAAATAATTCACGGGTTGAGGGCGGGTGGTCTACAAAATGTGGCCTTCGCCTTAGAGCCGCGAAACGCTGCTTGAAAATACAATAAAGTTACGGATTGAGGGCGGCCCCTTTTCAAAATGTGACTCTCGCCCCAGTGCCGCGCACAGTCGTTTGACAAATGTGCAAAACTCGCATTACTTCCCATGTCTGACGCATCAGAAGCGGTGTTATTGGAATGAATGGTTCAGTACCGTCAGGGCGCAACAGTTACGTTCATTTGCGTTGAAATCAAAAGAATGGTGTTCGGGCGCGATTCAGGATCGCCAGGACGCAACAGCCAGGTTGACTCGGGGCGCTGAAATCTTGAGAATTGTGTTCTGGTGCACATCAGGAT